TCAATTAGTTAAGACTATGGATCAAAATTGCAAAACTGATTCTATGCAAACATTGTTAAAGTTAACAATCCAACCAATCCAACCATATAACGTTAACGATTGGTGCAACAGGAGAAGGCCAGGAGCCTTATTAAGAAAGTATCACTAATAAAAAAATAAATAAATAATAAAAATATTATCATTTATTTAACTGAATTGTATATGTATAATTGTTTAACTATTTTCATTCTTATGCGCCTATGAATTTAACACTTAAAGTTCAAACATCTTTTCATCTTTCATTCGTTTTCAAAAGAAAATGAATTTTTTACAATTGCCTAAAAATTTTTTAAGTCCAGCAGGCTTACTTTTAAAATAACCCCCTCCCCCTCATTACTATTCGGCCTTCTTTCAAAATGTTTATGGACTGAAAAAAGCCTTATCCTCTTCCCCCCTAGCACGCACAACCATCGCACTTCCAATCAACTTCCTCCCCACAGCCACACTCAACGCTTTCCTGACTCTAACTTCATTCAGCCTCGGATCGTCATCACTGCTGTCCGCACACTACTCCGTTCGTCACTCTCTGGAAGGATTGATCTCTCAACACCGCTTCTACTGCATTGTAATTGCTATCATCACTCTCTTAAATTGCCATTTACCTCAGGACTCTCTACAAAAAATTTCATCTGTCATACTTCAAAATTATGCTTATTATTGCTACTTTTCAACCCAAACTCAACAATCGGCAAAATTCGGGAGCAGATCCAATTGCTAGATTGGGATAGGGTCTCTTACCCAGGCGCCCAAAAACATGAACTTCGTTCACGCAACGCAAACCAGTTTTAGGGTTGCCATAAAATGGCAAGATAATGCAGGGTTGCCATATTTGACGAGAAATCGCTGTTTGGCAACAAAATTGGCAATATGCCATGGACGGATGGAGAATCTTCTGGAATGAATTCTTACCAGTTTAGCCCAGAATGTTCTCGAACACCAGCCGAAAGCTATATATACCCTGCTGGTACACAGAGTTAATCAGATTAGAACAGAACAGAGTTAATCGATCAAGTTAAGATCTGGGCAGCGAATGCCGAGTGGGTCGTCGAGTGCACCGAAAGAGTCTCGTAGTGTATCGTGGTTAGTACATCGTCGAGAGGGCATGTTGAACTCCGGTAACGAGTGAACCGAAGAGTCGGGAGCTGTGCACTGTGTGTCATCGAGTGCATCGCGAGTTGTAGCGTCGAGAGACTCGAGAGTACGTGGAGTTCCGAGAACGACCAAACAGAGTCGGGAGCTGTACTCTAGTGTTTTGCCATCAAGCTGTCTCCACAGTGATAGCCTGAAAACCTGGAGGCTGTGTCGCTGATCGTGTCAGCATGTTTATAGTAGTTCGTTGACGACTGTAAAAACGTGTTTTGGAGCTGTCCTGACAGTACTGACCAATAAAATGTGCTTCGATACTTCATGAGAGCTGAGATTCAAAGCTGCACTGAAAGACATGAAAGCGGGACTGGAAGACAAGAAAGCCTGGCAGGAAGAAATAAATGCCAGTGAAGAAAAGGCGCGAGAGCAACTGTAACAGCTGAAAGTGGAGCTTGCAGAAGAAACTGGAGCCATAAAAGAAGATGTGAGAATGACAGTAGTGGCGTCTGCAGAATCCAGGGATGAAGAAATGAAAGTAGCTAACGAACTGCTTGTGAAAGATCCAGAAATGATCGATGAAATATCTAACGGGATTAAAGAAAAAGAACGAAAACATGAAGAAATAAAAGACGGGAAAGAAGATTTTGATTTTCACGTGCCTTAAGTAGAGATAGAAGAAAGTGACAATGCGACTATCAAGTTCATAGAAACTGATAGTGAAGTTATGAAAACTCAAGCAGCAAGTGTTAAACCATCTGAAAGTGCATGTCATACAGAGATCAGAGAAGCTGATGTACAGCTTAAGCAGTGTGCTCCAGTATTGCAAGAAAATTCACCCACCTAACAAATTATGTATGCGTCTCGTAGTGCACATTTTGCAGGCAAGGACTTGATTCTAAACCCGGATACTTCTGCTTGTAAAGGATCGGATTCGATTTGCGACCGTGGTGAAAACATCGGAAATGGTTCCCAGGAAACGAAGGAAAATAAGCATGTACCATCTGCTAAAAATACTGAGGTGAATTGTATACATGATGTGAATAAACCACAGAGTGGTGAACAAACTGCTCCAGATCTTCCTACGGATGAACAGTCTGAATCTTCAGACTGTGTGATATGCAAAACAGGAATGCATCTGAGAACTGCAGTGGAAAAGTATTTGACCCGGGTATATTTTAATGAAAAGACCGAGACTGAAATTCTTTCTGAACTTTAATTTGTATCATTTAAAATTGTTACGTGTTTAATTTGTGTACCTAACTTGTAATTAGTGTAAATATTTGTTTTTTTAGTTATGTTATCTGTATGTTTTAGAACGTTTTGTTTGTGTCGAATTAGGCTTCTGACCAAGAGCTATACTGCCTGGGACATGCAGTCTGTGGAAGGGGACGGAGTTCCAAAATGTCTAGGCGCAGTGAGATAGCTTTCCCGTAAAACAGTTTTAGGGTTGCCATAAAATGGTAAGATACGGCAGGGTTGCCATATTTGGCGACATTTGGTGACAAAATTATCGATATGGCATGGACGAATGGAGAACCTCCTGGAACGAATTTTTACCAGTTTAGCCCAGAATGTTCTCGAACACCAGACAAAAGCTATATAAACCCTGCTGGTACGTGGAGAGTTAGTTAGTATCAAGTTGGTGTCTCGTCTAGTGAGTCAATCCCTGCGGAGTCGATCGAGTTAACAGCCGGGCAGCGAATGCCGAGTGGGTCGTCGAGTGCACCGAAAAAGTCTCGTAGTGTATCGCTGTTACTGCATCGTCGAGAGAGCATGTTATGCTCGGGGAATGACTGAACCGAAGAGTCGGGAGCTGTGCTCTGTGTGTCGTCGAATGCATTGCGAGTTCTAGCGTGGAGAGTCTCGAGAGTACGTGGAGTTCTGAGTACGACCAAACAGAATTGGGAGCTGTACTCTAGTGCTTTGCCATGAAGCTGTCTCCACCGTGACAGCCTGATAACCTGGAGGCTGTGTCGCTGATCGTGTCAGCGTGCTTATAGTGGTTCATCGACGACTGTAAAACTGTGTTTGGGAGCTGTCCTGATAATACCGGCCAATAAAGTGTGTTTCGATACTTCATCAAGTAGTATTGTCGTTATTCACTCCAAATCTTCACGATCCCCGTACAAACGTGAAGGAAGAAAATAACATAACAACTGGCGTCGGAAGAAAAACATAACAATACATTTCTGAATCTGGTTCCGATAATAGAACAGTACCATATGTAACAGTAAATTTTCTAGTTTTTATTTTATACAAAATTTTCATTTGCATGTCATTAAATTTTAAAATGCCATTAAATTTAGTAGGTTGATTAAATAAATTTAAATACTTGATCTACAATACATGACAGTTTTTCCTTAATTCTTGTGATTAGATTGTTTTTCTAATCTATTATGTAGTTTAGAAGGCTATGAAAATGCATTTGCCCCACTCTTATAACAACATATCTCTGAGAACATAACATACAAAACCTATATCAGGATATGAGATGGTATTATGCCCTGCTTATACTCATGACTTTTTAAAAATGATTACCTAGAACTTGGTTCATTTTTATTGAAGAATACCTTCCGAAATGACTCAGCCATTTTAGATTATGCGGTTTTCAGAAATAGTTATTTGAAGCTGGCGTAGATGATACCATAACATAGTAGCTGAATAGAAATGTATTTAGGACTATAGTGATCAATTTAATCAGTATATGCATTTCTTTCTCTTTTAAACCTGCTCTAGACCAAACTTCAATCAGCAATTTAAATTACAATGAACCAACAATCGCAAATTAAAAGCATTATGTCATGTGTCTATCTAAGTTTTCCATTTTTTGCTACTTATGCTTGCCAAACTATATATAGACAAAAAAAGGAAAAGAAAAGAAAAAGGACAGTTCTTTGTATTACATAACTCAATTTGACTTATTAAATGAAAAGAAACAAATTAAAAATATCTTGCTACTTTTCCTGTCATAACTTTGCTACTTGACGCTGTTGATGCAGCCAATACTAACAAAAATTCTTATGCTTAACATATTGTTATTCAAAAAGGAATAAAAAACTAAAACTGCATACACCGAGATCTAACAACAATTTTTAAAAAAATCTTGAATAAATCCAGGAAAATATGACTGAAATTTTAAATTCAAATTAATGCAAGTATACAAATAATGGCACTATTAAATACTGTTCTGCATGTACAGGTTCATAATAAGAGTGAATGCACACAGAACCAATGATAGCTTCATAAAATTTATTTTATCCAAGAAACACATCACAGTTCTGGAACTTTCCACAAAAATATTTGTACAGCTCTTCATAGTATCACAGAGTACAATCAGTAGTTATGCTTTAAACTATTAAGAACATTAAAAATGATGCAATGTAAAGCACATCTGAAAGGTGAAGCTATCTCAGATATCTCTATACTCCAAAGTCACTCTGAAATAACAGTTACGAGAAACTAATGCACTCCTTGATCTGACTTAGTTTTCTCCTGGTTGCCGAGCGATTTCTAGTACCTTTCACTTCTCAAAATTACTGGAAAGCATATGAGAGCCGGATAGAGTTACAGCTACATGGAGCATCAATTACAATACCCATTACAGTTACACAAGGACTAGACCAAAATGCCACCAAATGATCCCAAATTTGGGGAGTTTTGGTGATAAAAATTAGTCTCCAGGTTGGTGATATCTCGCCAATTTAGCGAATCAGCCATATACTCAATGTTAAATAGACTTGCTCCTGTATTTTACTTTTACAGCCAAGCTTGGTTTTCTTATATTTTCATGTTATATTATACAAAAAATATTACAATTTCACATATAATTTCACTAGAATTATTTACGTATGTACAAAATTCATAACAATACTTACCAGTTCAATGCCATCAATAAAAGGAGTATCATCCCAATCTTTCTCGGGAAACCTCTGTAATACTTTACCAGAACTTAAACCACTACCTATATTTCAAAGAAACAAATACATTTAGAAACTATTACAACACAGTATGCTTGAACATTCAAAAAGCTCTAGAAATGCCAAACATTGGATATGTGAAAATTCTGGATAGTTGTGCATATGAAAAAAATCTGATGTGTACACTACAAGACTTCCTTGTATGGAATATTAAATTATATGCATTTTTTCTTGCATTTCATTTAAACTTATTGGATAGAATTAAATCTACTTCGCCGACAGTGCATAAACCACAATAGAATAAATGCATTCTTTAAAATTCAATCTATTTGTTTACCATAGCAACACTCTGGCGCTAGGTTCATTTAACAGTATGATACTTCATTCATATTATAACTATGTCTATGTCTTATCACTTAGTAAGAGGCAATCGACCATTAACGGCCTTTACCAATATATTATACTTGACTTTTAAATGCTTGAGGAATCGAGTAAGTTTTATCCCATAATATGGAAGTACTTGTGCTCATGCTGTGCTAGAACTCAAGAGATTACTAGCGACAGAGGCTCCTGTGCCGCCGTCCGTAGAATAAGTAAACTTGAACAAATGAGGTGCCATCTATTTTCCTATTATAACTCAGAATGCACAAAATTTATATCATTTAAAGAATTATCTAATCGTTGCCACATGTTCTATTCAAATACTATAATAAAGCTAGAACGATGTATGAAAGAATTTAAGCAAACAAAACAAAAAAGAAAGGTTTCCACAGACAATTGAGTATTTCTCATTCAATTAATTCAGTCCTCACTTCGCGACAAGGCAAAAATACATAAAAACTCAAAATATCTATATTAAAAATTATGAAGTAACTTTTAAACACTTATTTCCTCTAAAAAATTCCAGAAAGGATTAAGCATGATTTAATTCGCAACAATAAATGAAGGCATTATTTTTGTTGTTGCGAAGCTACGTTTTTCTAGATTGGCAACAAATCCACTATCCTGCTGTTTCAAATGTAAACAAGCAATGGCCGACATCAAAAACATTATTAGGCTTAGCAGCACTTAAACAACTTTAAAATTGTTGATAATTCTAAAAATATTGCATACAGATTTACTAAAGGCATAAAAACCTTAACCGGAAGGTAAGAACAACATAATTCAATCATTTTTAAAGCAAAAAATGTACAATTTACAAACATATAAGAGTAAAGAAACTTAGATCACTGAGCCGGGTAACAAAGTGGATATATATATAAGTATATTTATACACGTTTAATGCGGCCGATTGCAACCAAAATATGAGGTGCACATCTACATGTTGTAGCAGTCCTATATACAAAATTTCAACGTCCTGAGGCTACTCGTTTTTGAGTTATGCGAGATACCTACGTACATACGTTCGTACAGACGACACGAAAAATTCTCTTCAGAATTCATTTTAAAGCAGTTTTATAATTTTTTTTTTTTTTTTTTTTTTTTTGAGGAAAAGAGTATTTTATTCTGTCCTTACGTACAGATATCACACAAAAACATTGTTAAATTGCATTCGATAGCAGTCAAAATGGATATTTTCGTTTAAATATGCTGCCTGAAACTTTTCGCGATTACAATACTTCCTTTTTACTTTGTACAAGGAAGTAAAAAGCAGTTCATAGTAGAAAAGCCAAATACATGAAAAGATATTTCTAACTTAATTATACAGATTAAAAAGTCTAAAATAAAATATTTAAATAGTATTTTACATCAATTTGACTATCAAAAGCCTACATTTAAAATTATATAAGGTTCTGAGAAAAAAAGGCATTTCAGATACAAGGGCTGATCCACTTTCATAGGCTTTAAAGATATGGAAGTATGCTAGCAAGAAAAATTACAGGATCAACTACAAAAACTCATGAGACTTGATTTTCCAGCTAAGAAAATGGAACTCTCACAAAATCTTCATTTTGTCATCTTTAACATATCTTAAAAACGCAGAAATGTCTATTAAAAAAATAAATAAGAACACAGCAAATGCAATATAAAACGGTTTACAGAAAAGCTGGTTTTATAATCTTTTAGAGACATTTGGAAAATTTAATTAGATATTGTGATACTTCTTTGGCAATATGAAGCACCTCCAATGATGGAACACAGAAAAAACTTTATTTAGCACTCAAAATGGCGACCTGCAAAACAAGACGAAGAAAGAATTCTAACATTTAAAAATAAATTACATTCTTTCGGGCGAGAGTCGCACGTGGCACTCGAAGCCTGGTTTCAAATACTGCATTCACATATACCTTAATGTTCATTCTAATTAAATTATTTATTTCAAACTACAAGATTTTAATAATATTTAAAGCTGTTACAACCTCTCCCCCAACGGAGAGACTTTTACCGAAGGGAAAAGTTTCTGTAAAATTTTCGAAAGTTTATAAGCTCGGCTTGCTCAATTGCTTAAAGAGAAAAGGATAACTTCTCTCAGAAGATTCCAAATTTTCAGGCTGAAAATTTTAAGTTTTAAACAAATACTTTTACACCACATTTAAATAGAAAAAAAAAAAAATGGAGAATGTTCAAATACATCAGTTGAGCGTACATTAAATAATAAAATTAATTCTGAACGTGATTACATACACTAAGAGTTATTACATTACTTAATTCTACTCAGAACATCTACATTCTTGTGCAGAGATCCTTTGTGATGAATGACCTTAAAATTATAAGGTTCTAATGAGAGTGCCCAGCGCATCAATCTAGAGTTACATTTGGCGTTGGATTGTAGCCAGACCAAAGGATCAGTTTGAATCAAGAATTCTTGCTGACCATCCAGATAAAAATGATAAAAATGATATCTTTTGATAGCGTAGATGATAGCAGCACACTCCTTTTCAGTAGTACAATAATTCTTGTCAAATTTAGTAAATTTTTTGCTTATATACAAGATAGGATGTTCATGTTGTTCATCATCTGATTGGCATAGTACTATACCCATACCATTGTCTGAGGCATCAGTTTACCTCAATAAACCTTTTATCAAAGTTGAGAGCATACAGAATTGATTTCTTGCATAGCAACTCTTTTAAATTTTTAAACTTTGTCACATATTTCAGACCATTGTACATTTCCTTTCTTTGTTACCCCCTTCAAAGCGTCCATGAGGGGTGAAGTAATTTCCGAAAATCTCGGTATGCACTGGCGATACCTTACTAGTCCTAAGAAAGCATGTACTTCTGCTTTGGTCTTAGGTGTAGGATACTCCTTTACAGCCAGGATCTTTACTTTATCTGGGGTTTATTGTCCTTGTCCCACAACATGGCCTAGGTATCTTACTTGATCTTGTGCAAATTTACATTTTCATGGTTTTAGTCGTAACTTTGCTTTCTATATTCTCTCCAGAACAGAAGTTAGGTTTTTTAAGGTGCTCTTCCCAGTTTTCTGAGTAAATGGCAATGACATCCAGGTATGGTACAGCGAATCTTTCGCATCCAGCCAGGACTTTGAAAGTCCTTTGCTAAAAGTCATAACTTTGCTAAAAAAATATGGAGCATTTTTTAATTCAAAGGGTAAACGTAGAGGCCTGAAACTTTGGGCTCTTTCGGTTAACGGAATTTACCAGTAGCCTCTAGATAAATCTAATAGGGTAATATAATTTGCTTTTGCTACAATTTTGATACATTCTTCAATATTAGGCAAAGGATAGTATTTAGTTTTAGTAACAGCATTGAGTTTACGATAATCAACACAAGGCCGAGGATCCTTTGATGAAGATTCTATCAAAATCATGCGAGATGTATAGTCAGATTCTCCCGGCTCTATAATTTTAAGATCGAGCATTTTTCTGGATTTCCTTTTTGAGAATTTCAGTCTGTCGAGGCGAGACAGTCTGTATGGCTTTATTTGTATTGGTTCGTTATTTAATAGCTCAATATCGTGACAAACTAAGTTTGTTAGTCCAGGATTATTTGAAAAACAATCCAGAATATTTCCATAAAACCTTTCATAAATCTTTCTATTTGCTTGGGTTTCAACCTTTTCTCGAGTTCATTCTCCTCTATGGTGTCCGAGAAATTTAATATACTTGGATTGGAAGGTAAATGAGGAATGTCCATTTCTAAGTCTCCTTCCACTTCAGTTATCATATTAATAATTTCTGCTCTTTTGGTAATATGGTTTAAGCATGTTAATGTGATATACTCGATTTGGCTCATTTTGTTTCTCGAAACTTACAATATAATTGGTTTCTGAAATTTTCTGCTCTATTTTTCCATTTCCTTTCCGTTGTACTTCTAGTTAACTTTGACGATTCGTTGATAAAACAAGAACTAAATCTCCTCTAGCAAATTCTCTTTTCACTGCGTTTCAATCGTATCGTGTTTTCCTCCATTGTTGAGCTCCTTTCATGTTTTCCACGGCAAGTTCTTGGCATTTCTTCATTCAATTAATAATATTCGAAAATGTAACTGACAACATTATTACTTTCTTCAATCAGTTCTAGCCAGTGCTCATAAAGTAAAGTGACTGGCGTTCGTAGATTTTTGCCATGAACTAATTCTGCTGGTGTAAAACCAGTGCTTTCGTGTGTGACTGTTCTGAGAGCAAAAAGAACTGAGGTAGATAATTCTCCCAATCAGAAGTCGCTCCTATACATACGACTCTTATCACCCTTTTTAGCGTTCTATTGAATCGCTCAACGGGATTACGCTGCGGATGATACACAGAGCTTCTTACATGTTTAATACCGAAACACTCCAAAAATTCCTCTGTCAAAGCACAGACGAAAGAGGTCCCCTGATCTGTTTGGATCACTTTTGGGAAACCCATACGACTGAAAATCTGTAAGAAAGCATCAATCACAGATGGCGAAGAAATGTCTGTCACCGCAACAGCATCTGGATATTTGGACGACATACACAGAGCTGTAATAATATATTTTTTTTTAGTTTTGAGGTAAGTAGCAGACCAACAGCATCGACATTTATTTTAGTGAATATTTCGGAAATTACTGGTACTAATGTCATTGGAGCCTTCTTTTTGTCATTTCCTTTTCCAGCGTGCTGACA